CACACACACACACACACACACACACACACACACACACACACACAAAACAGGCAATCAGCACACACAGACGTTCAGGTCACGACTCGATACAAACATGTAGGCGCACACATAAATGTGCTCAGATGGGTAAACTACCGGGTCCTCCAACACCAGCCAAAACCCCTTCTCCAAATTTGCGGGGATAAGGCATAATACTGGATCACAAATGAATGTTCACAGTAGTATACAACCCTGTACAATACTCCAGCACCCCTTGAAAAGATTACAGGAGTGTGAGGCAAATTGTTGACTGTGTAAATTGAGACTGTTTAACTGACGAGCAGTAAATCCAGTTAGGTTATGATAAACATAAAATGAGTCACTGACAATAATATACTAATTATTTATGTTTCTCACTTTCATTTATTTGGCAGGAGGCCTTATCCAGGGTGTTACCAGGACCCTTTGCTTCTGTTTACCTACCAGTAACTGCTGCCCATATACAAACACATGGTTTTTGGCAATGTCCACCCGGTCCCAGGCCAGGGTGAGGACAAGCTGGTGAAAAGCAGAGGTGTTGGTACCTGGACAGACACACAGACAGGCACGCAGACAGGAAGTCACATACTGAAGAAAACGTCAATTAGAATTCAGTAGAACACCCAGGAAATAAGACTGAAGGGTTTCTCATCACGCTGCTTGCGGGAGTCTTACTGCAGAAGGAGTCTTACTGCAGAAGGAAAAAAAAAAAAGATTGATTCCGAGAGATAACCAATCCGATTGTAGAGGAAGTGGGTCCAAGCAACTAGAGGAGGCGGGACCAAGACATCTGATTGGTTGGTACTGCCTCCTTTAGTTGTTTGGACCCACGCTCCTCTATAATCCAATTGGTTATCTTTCTGGTTATCTAATCATTTTTCCTTCTACCCTCAGAACATTTTTGTGTAAGTACAATAGAAGTCCCAAGAGCCATCACACTATTCTTTTGTAGTGCGTTGGTTGTAAGAGTGGGGCAGCGGGGGGGACGAGGGATGGGGAGGCGGGCTTGGATTTCCCATTTTTGGGTCTGACATCTTGCGTGTCATGCAGTCATTAAGCCTGAAGACAGATGCTCTCATAGCTGACCTCCATTCCTAAGCAAGTGACATCACTGGCAAATTTACTATGCAAAGGCATCACTACACAATGCAAAACATTATTATGACAAAGTAACCCAGCAAGCAGAAACAGCTCATCTACACTGAAACTCCTAACGGTCACTAAAATACAAGGGTTTTGTTTAATAAAATCAAACAGCATTCACTCATATTTTGACATGATGAAATGGAACAAGATTACGACAGATTTTAATGGCTTTGGGTTCAGTGGAAAACACACCGGTCTCATATACTATAAATAGTAAATAGTGGCTTGAGAAAAACAGTCGCATGATCTTAAAAAAGAAAAAAGAAAAAAAACAGCAGTTTTCAATACAGGTTTTAGATTGACAAACTGATTTGACCTGTCCATCTGACGAGACTCCAACGGGTGGCCCATTCCTAAACCTCGTCATCTGGATTTAGATCTAGCGCTAACCCCTAAGGCATAAATACTTTCGCACACCAAAAATGACATCATGTGTCTGCAAGACCGTTAGCTACATCAAAGCCTGAATGGTGAGTCAACAGAGCTTCCTTTCAAACCCAAAAACCTGCATTGTGGTAATTTAGTGTGTTTATTCAGCTTCTTAATTTCGGGAACACATATGAATGTCTGTAAATCGCTTCTTTGTCCCTTCCACCGCTACAGCCCAGTCTTAGTAAACCCGCTCAGGACAGGAGTGTGTGAGAAGAGCAGTCTGATGACATCTTGGCAGGGAGAGAGGAAGGGATCCCCCAAAATATATATATGAAATTAAAAAAAACAGCCAAATACAACATAAGATGGCCATAAGGCCCCCTCCAGGGAAGAGCTGGATCTGTCAGTGAGGGGGTGTTGGAGAGGAACTGGAAGTACCTTTCAGCAAGGCTGTCAGGATGGCGACGTCGATGTCCTGGTGATCCTCAGATCCGATGTGAAAGACGGTTATCTTTGTTTCAGAACAACAGGGAACAGTTAAAAAAATCTCCATGCAGAGTGAACACATTCTTACTTTTAATTAATTTAATTAATTATTTAATAATATAAATTTTGGCCAAGACTAAGCTTGTAATTAACTCCCATACATTTGTTCCTAAGCTCAAGACGACCATTAAACATCCATCCGGGCATCTACTTCCTGTGTATGCTTCACAGCTACACCAGGCACACATCTCACCAGATCTTTGCTCTTCATGCATTCCATTAGCTTCTGGAAGAGGTGGATCGCATCACATTGCCCAAAGTTGAAGGTCTTCTTTATAGTTGCAATAATTTCTGTTTCAACCCCTTCAGGCAGGCGCCTGATTGGTCAAAAGAGAAAAGGTAAGATATCACTTTCCTGTCACAATTCATTACTGATATCTTCCCTAGTTCATCTTTATGGAGTCTACTTGATATCAATCACAAGACAGATTTTTTTACTAGATATAAAAAAATGCTAATATATGTGATTTGACATATGACCTGAGGGGTATTTATTCAAAGCGGAGACTCTGCTACTAACACAGGGTTCCCCAATTCTAGTCCTGCAGGGCCAGGCTGCGACTCAGTTTTCAAACACACCTACTAAACCTGGCAATCAGCTAGTGAGCTGAATAAGTGTGTTTGAGAAGGAAAATCTGTAAGCTGTTTTGCAAAATGGCACTCCAGGACCAAAAGTGGGGAGAAATGTACTGCAGCATGGTTCCGGGTTCGAAACCAGGTCTTGTTCCACTCAGGCCCAAGTTTGTTCCCAGCTTCAGAAGCCAAGCTTGAGGCAAGGTGCGCGTCTGCGATTTTGGGTGGGCCGAGCACCGAGGCCTGTGCTTCCCATGAATTAACCCCAGATCACCATAATCCCGCTCTGGCAGATCGTCATTGGGTCAAACCAGACGCAACAGGCACAGAACCGACCGCACTAACATAAAGGTGCCTGCTTGGCTCGGCCAGCCTCACCCGCCTTCCTCTGTCTGCTTGTGGACGTAGGCCAGGATGTCTGCGGCGCGGCCTGTGCCCTCGCACACCACCACGGGCACAGGCGGGCTCTCCTGCAGGTACTCCAGCACCGTCAAGATGACGTTGGGTCCGCCCTCGAAGATCAGGGCCACCACCGGCACGCCCTGACCGATCCCTGATGGGAGACACAGGCAGGACAGCATGGCGCCGTTAGAACACACAGAAAGGCAGATGGAAGGTACGCCAGGCCCCCCGGAGACGATGTGTAATGAGGAAATCGCCACAGCGGACCTTTGTCTGGCCTCCGTAACCATCCATTGTGGGAAAACTAGGTCAGCTCAGTGTGACCGTACTGTGTTTAAAGCCATCATTATAAATCACGACTTCAGCACACCTAGCTCACCACAGAGGGTAAATTACGTGGATGTGTTATGCAAGCTGGGAAATAACCAAACTCAGGGCCAGCAAGAGCCTGCTGGTTCATAAAAACAAGATAGGACATCATCATCATCATAAAAAAATTATAATATGTCTCAGCTGGTAGCACTATAGGCTCATACCTGCAGGGGTGGGGGGGTTCAGATTTGTTCCCCATGTCACACAGATTTTCAGAGTTCATGCATTTCAGCTAATTGGTGTCCCTCAAATATTACTGCATAATTATGTGAGCGAGTGTGTTCAGGGCATGTTGCTCTTTTGTGCCCTGTGCTGTCTGCGATAGGCCCAGAACCCACCCCCCAAATACCCCCACCCCAGTGCAACTCGCTGGGCCTCAGTGCCAGTGAACAGAAGGTCACTGGCTCAAATCCTGTCCTCAGCAGGGAAGAGCAGGGGGGCCCTACGCTTGGACCACAAGCTTTGCTCTCAACCATTATATGTGTGTGTGTGTGTGTCAAAGGAGAACATCATAGGATATGTGAAAAGAAGCACAGCGATGTCGCTGTCCCTGAAAATGCCGAATAAGGCATCATTTCATTATGTCCGGTAGGCAGACCCCAATAGCGGCTGGGCCTTACTGGCGTGTATCTTCTGCAGGTTGATGTGCTTCTCCAGCTCCCGCCTCAGCTTGACCTCGGCGCCGTATTTGCCCACCGTGCCGTCGTCCACCAGGACGAAATGCGAGTGCAGGTTGTTGAGGACGTTCAGCTTGCTCAGGGGGTTCAGCAGCGTTTGGTACGCAGCGACCACCTGGGTGCCGGACAGAGGCCCCAGGGCGGGTGTAAGTGTAGCTCACAGGGGGCATGAACCATGCTAACCATAGTAATTACACACAATGGAAAACAGAAATCACAAAAGACCATTTGGACATTTACTCCCCTTGGGCCTGACAGAAACGCAACCCCCCCACTGCTTGTTCTGCTTCACATGACCCCTCCTACCCCCGCACCCCCACCCCTAATACTGGATCACACCTCACACCTCCACCTTCGAAGGAGAGGCAAGGAGCAATGTCTCAGATAAACTTGACCAAAACAGAAGCGCTTCTCAGAGCTGATCTCAGTTCAGTTACAAACTGCCATGTAAGCATGTAGCTTAATCAGTGCTTATGCTTCCTCACTTCCCTCTGAGCCGGTACGCACTCACTGGCCTGTAAACACACATGCCTGTATCGAGTGCGCTTCCAAACGAGCAAAAAATAGGGGTGGCATTTAAAGCAGGATGCTACTCCAACCGGAGCCCAATGGACCAGGAAACTGTGGGTGAGCCACATGATCACGGGACTCTACCAGGACTACTAAACCGATTCAGGAAAATGTGAGTGGGGGGGAGGGGCGGGCGTCTCCTCACATCTTTCCCGATGAGGTCGTTCCGGTTTTCAATAACTCCCCATGGAGCTATCCCAATAGTGCAAATTTTTCGTGCGGACCTGGATGAGTGCTCTTTGAGGGCATCTCCCACGTGTTTCGCTACACCTGAAGAGAATATGTAAAAATAAATTAAAACAGGCCACTAACTTTGATAAACACACAAATCAGCCCTGAGTAAACCGCCAAGTCGAGCTAAATGTGGTTCATTGTTCAGTTCAGCTAGAAACAAGTGCTGAATGAGTCATTGTAACAATTCACTGCGTGTCACTTTCTATTGAGTGCCATGGATAGTCACACAAACACAGACACCACCAATACAACCTGGTTTACATAATTATCCCTTGTATACTGTGCTAGGTTCACTAGTGACCAGTGACATCATGTTTACGGCTCTCCCGGAGTCATACGATGCTGTTCCCAGGGAGTGCCATGTACTGTTTTTTTATTTATTACCAAACTTATGGTAAGCTAGCTTAAAATTTTATTTACCAAAAATATACCAGGCTGCTAGTGACCCAAACGTGGTAAAATAAAAAAAAAAAATTACATGCGCTTTTTAAGTGCTGTGTTTGTACACTGTGTTCAAACAAGAACATGCTTTTCCCCCCATTATTTTATATCTCTGAGTCAGAATTACTTAGAATATCACAGAAATAAAAGTAAAAACATTATTTTACCCTTATTACCCCCACTGCCACTCTCTGTCCTTAAACTCCAAAGCATGAATGGGACATCATCTAATGGTAGTTTTTGCCATGTTTGCCAAATTTAGCTTTTTTTGTGGATAAAGGGCTATAACAGATTTGGACCCTTGCAGAGGTATATATATAAAAAAAATATTTTAAAAAACGCTGATGTCAGCATATTTTGAGAAGTAGGTGCTTTGCTATACATGTAAATAAACAGAAAAGGCATATTTCACCCGACAGCCATTACAAAACATTACACAGTATTTCAATAGGAAAATAATTTTAAATGGATATACATTTTTATAATCTTAATATTTACACAAGGGTTAAGCAACACTTCATATAGCATAAAAACAACGATGATGCAACAGACCCTTCTGACAAATCTAAATAACACGTGCGTGCCTCTTAATAACAGCAGGAATTAGACATAAACACCCTTCAGCATAAATAATGTGCGGGACATAAACTCTCCTGTCATTATGCCCTCCTGCCCTCTGGGGCGAGGTGATTAGGGCTCAGGTTCTCACCTGTGTTTACGCCCCCGGTCAGGATCCAGGGCTCAGGTTCTCACCTGTGTTTACGCCCCCGGTCAGGATCCAGGGCTCAGGTTCTCACCTGTGTTTACGCCCCCGGTCAGGATCCAGGCACCGGTGGTGACGGCCGCCTTGATCAGCCCCTTCCCCACCACCTGCTTGATACGCGGGTGCAGCTCGAAGTTCTGCAGGCCACCGTGGACGGAGATGACGATTTTTGGAAGCTCCATCTGCCACTCTTTCAGCATGAGGCGTAGGATCATCTCGGGTTTGGAGTCGTAGGACAGCCGGAGGTACTGTTCCCAGGGGCAGGGAAGGCGGGAGAGGTAGAGGGGGCAAAGATGACACGACGGGCCTTTCAGACCACCTCGCTCTGAAGACATCGGCTCTGCTGTGCTCCTCATCATTACAGTACGAGAAAAAGCATCCTCACTGGGATGCGATGCATGTTTACACACATTTAATCAAGAGACTATTGAACTGCGATGTGTGTTACCCAAAAAAATCATGCCAGTGTCAATGTACACACCCACCAAGGGCTGGGCACGTGCCCCAGTCATTCATTCTGTCTTCATGTGTGTCGGTATGTCTGCATAAATGGACGGCATGCAGTGGTTGGCTGAGGTTAGACCAGTTTACCAATTCGTTCTTCCTGACAGCCCGCTAGCACTTACTCACCCACACTTTCCCTTTGCAAACCAAAGTCATCAGGCCCAAATACTAATATGACCATTAACGACTGATAAATATCAACTGATGTGAGAAGACAGAAAGCTGTTGGAATTTTTTTTAACTGTGATCTGATACACTAAAATCAGTCCAGTAATTTCACACATCTCAGTTTAATTATGTGATAAGGGCAGTGGAGTGCTGTATTTTGTCTAAACAGATGTGACCGATTGCTTCACAAACAGCCCTTGTGTGCCGATACTCTTACTCAGTCCTCCCACACGCTGAATATTTCCAGCCGGCATTCACGCCGTGACTGTAACACTGGCATAACGACTCAGTAGCCGAGCAGGATGAGACGGGGTGGTGCCCTTTCGGATGCAAACCTTGGCTCTGTATGAGTGGGCCCCCCCCTGGAAGTTGATGACACCGTAGGCATCAGTAGGGGATTCCTCCGTGTGTTTCTCCACTGACCACTGCTCCAGCTCGGGCATGGAGCTCTCTCCCACCTTCACGTCCGAGTACTTGGTGGCCAGGCTGGCAGTGAAGCCGGCATGCTGCCGGACCAGCCGCCCACAGCAGCACCTGCCAGAGAAGATGGCCTGGGTCATTCAGGACGAACCCTTCGAGGTCTGTGCCGACGCCGTTAATCATTAGAAACAGTAGAGCGGGAAGAACAAGAGCTCATCACATCCTGATCCACATTAAGATGTTTGCTAGAAGGTGGTGACCATCTAACAGTTCTCAACCATAAGTTTTCTTAATGTACCAACAACCAACATATTGACCTGGACATTGGACAATGAAACCAGAACCTCTGAGAAACATGACCGCTCAAAACTCACCGCACCAACTGCTGGCAGATCTGACATCCTGGAAGGCACCTAAAAATAAATGTAAAAAAAAAAAAAAAAAACATAAAATGTTATGTATTGCCATAGAACTATAATGATTTCCTACGATTACAAATATCCATAAATGAAAGTGTCTCAGAGATCGTCCCTTGAAATAATTCAACAGCATCTCAAGTTAAAATGTAACAACTGGTGATGAAACTCTGCTTAAGTTGAATATCAGTTATAAAATATGAGATTAAACATTCGACAAGATTACTGACTGAAAGTAACTAAATTTTTCCCACATAAAGCAATTTTCCCCTCAATATACATCGATTCAGACCACACCAAGAAGTTTTTTGTTTTCTGATGAGTCTTGCAAGCCGACTAAACCAACTTGACAAAGATAATATAGTAAAATAAACTGCTCCTCATTAGCCCACCATGGCATAGACTATGAAGGCCAGTGAAAAATCTGAAAACAGCTTCACGCACAAGGTTGCCCGGGTTGGGCACACCGCAGAAATAACAGCTTTCCGTTTACCCCTGTCAGCTGTCTGTGAGGGTACAGTAAACAAGCCTCAGGACCGCTTCATTTGTAACCGAAACCTTTTATTATGCAAAACAGCAGAGTAGACACAGAGCCTAGCACTCTATGTTTATGCCAATGAATGGGTTTAACATTTAACCATATTTTCTGAGGAACTCTAATGGTAATTTACTGGAGACATAACAGATTCAAAAAGTACAGCCCTGAACACCTTTTTCTCCCTGCACTAATTAACTCTTTCTCTTGAAAATAATTAAAAGAATAAAAAATCCAATCAGGATAAAAGCTAACTTTCTGCAGATGACAAAAACAAAACATTGTTTTTTAATCAAAGGGTAACCAAAAACAATGGCTTTCAAGCAGTAACAGAGTGAAAGCTTCATTTTACACTGGAAAGTTCCCATTAATGTCAAACCTGCTTTGGAAGCACTGGGTGAAACAGTGGCTGGAATTATAGTGGGCTGCGTGACCGGGGCAGATTTAACCTCCCTCCCATTGGTAGCAAACACTGATTGACAGCACTAACTAATCCAATCTACCAGTGTTAATAACTCCCACTCTCCTGTTGTTACACAAATCCTTAGAAGGTATGAACTGCAAAACCTTTATATATCTGTTTGAGAACACCTCATTTGTGTTCATTTTATCCTGAGCAGAGTAAGCATAATACCCTAGTTGCGTTGTCCAGGATGTTTTTATGCATGTGCTTCTAAAAATAATTGCCCAAAACTGGGGGAAAGAAAATAATATTCCTTAAAAAGTAAGGCCCCTCTGTTGGCCTCACACACATGACCCTCGTTTCCAGAAACCACGCTCCATATGGTAATACACTAGTAGGACACTGAGACGTGGAGGAGACGGCTCAGAGGGATAGTCTAGATCCCCTCGCTTTTTCAGATGCACACACTCTGAGGTAGGGGGAGCTGAAAATCCAGCAGCTTGTGTTGTGGCTTGGCCAGGCGTAGGAAGACAAATCTGAATTGGGCTCCCTGATCCCCTCTGACGTCTGTGTGGATCTCCTCACCAGCACGCCTGGTTCACACCACCTTCAGCTTCACTTAGAAGCTCATCATGCTAAACCTGAGCAGCCAGGTCCAGCAAACGTCGACAAATAAAATATACTGCCACTGTAAGCCCCTGAATGTGTGCATCAAGCCCTGTAAATCTGCCCATATTTATAAAACTGACTGTCACTGAAAAGGAACAAGTGCAAACCATTATAAAGTAAAACAAGAAGAATGACATCTGTTGCTTTTAGAAGTCGCTTTTGCTGGGAGAATCGGGCTCGTGTTTAATTGGGCAGTGAATGGCTCAGTGGGCTAAGTCTCTGCGCCCATGACCGGAAGGTTGTCAGTTCAAGCCCAGGCTTCTGCAGAACAGTCATATGACCGTGAGCCCTTGAGCAAGGCCCTTAACCTGCAGCTCCAGGGGCGCTGTATGTTGGCTGACCCCGTGCTATGACCCCAAAGCAAAAAGAGTGACGTTACAACCCCATCCAGTTGTCTTTGCACGTACCTGTGAGGGTCTTTTGACACTGGAAGTATGTACACACATTCCCGCTTGGTGAAAGTTCTTTCTACCCAGGATTTCTGGGAGTGGAAAAAAGGGGAGGAGACAAATCATTACATTCATTAATCCCAAATGAATTTGGAAGAATATAAAAGAATATAAAAGTTATATGGAGTTCCTCTAATCTTTTCTCCAAGAAACGGCACCTGTTTGACCCTTAGCTTACTTTATAGGAGCAAAAACATCAAATTTGCGTACAGCGCATTCATGAATTAGCTGCATTGACGGGGTGGTGTCCAGGTAACCTCCATGTAATCTCAGATTTACCCAGAAAAACCCTCAAGGATCAGCAGGCAGCTTAATAAACAAATGAAGCAATCATAGAAAATTCTCCACGTCCGCAGCGTCAACCCCACAGAACCGCTAAACTAGTCCCCTGAATCACCCAAGCACGATGCCTTATCCAGCCAAAGGGGTTTAACTCCAAAGAATTTTTAATTAAATTTCAAGCCCCAACACCTTTTTGTTCATCGTGCTGGATCTCACAAACCACCCCCCACCACCACCACCACCACCACCACCCCCCTTAGGATCCTGGACGAGAGCTCTGCATTCCACAGCACCGGAGCACCTAAACCCTTCAACCAGCACTCAGCAGTGATGAGAAAAGCTACTGCAAAACCTCATGCCTAAAAATAATCATTAATGACTCCCTCCAAAACTACTATGCACCTGCGCCAGACATAAACTGCTGTTGGCCAGTCACAACTAAAAAAAACAACGGTCATACTTTTGTTTTATAGCTTGTTATACATCACTATTTTTTATTTAAAATGATGTTCCAAGGTCATCAATGTGGCGCCTGAAACTACAATACACACCTCACGTTCCCGTTCTTCATCTTGTAACAAGAAGGAATAGCGGAACATTCCAGGCATATCGTACTGCAGGCATATCCTATCCCATCCAGGACTGCCAGTCTATATCCATTTAATTCTCAGGTTCAGCGTGTACCTGCTTAAGTCTCGAAGTCTAAATGATAGTGGAATTCTTTAAAAAAAAAAAAAGTCCCCTGTTAAACGCTGAACAATCAGTCTCCAGAAAAAAAAAGTTCAGGCTGTTTAATCTGTGTGGGGCCGCAAAGAAGGGGTTTAGAGCTAGTCGTTTCCAAGAGACGGGGTGTGAGTGTGTTTTTTTTGGGGGGGGGAGGGTGGACAGCAAAGAGGAGACAAGCTGGGCAGATGAAGGACATACAGAAGACTCCACCCTCAGATTCACAGCGTCCTCAAACTGCAGGATAGACTTTAGGAGTATCACCTAGCAGAAGGCTTCGGAGGCGATCCCTCCCAGCATTTTCATGTCTTTGTGACAGAACTAAGCCATCTCATAGAGTTACTTCAAGCATAAAAACTACACAACTAACAAAAACATTTACCTTCAGCAGCATACATGAAAAAGCCTGCCACATCCACATATACACAGCAGAAGCACAGAACCGCGATTTTGTCCTTGACGAGAACGTAGCCATGGTCCCTCTAAATGTCAGGCATAAACATGTCAAGCTTCTGCCAAACACCAAGTAGATGTTCTTTGTCTCTGAAATGTTTCTCTCAAGCTTTCATTAACACAATTCTAGGTTTCTGCACAGGCTTTTCCCACAAAGAACACATTTTTATCTAAGTGTTCATAAAGCTTTCATTCACAATTTCTGCACAAATACTCCACAAGCAACTCTACACGCAGCCCCCAAGGACCCTGCAGCATACAACTTGAGACCACCTATTACATTATCTTTTAGCAATTTGCATATCACATCTCCTCCATTACTTGTGCTGTTCAATTATCTGATTAAATATTTACAAGAAGTTATCAGCCACAAGAAACGAAGAACTAGCCAGCATTGTACATTCCAAAAATGATGTACTCAAAATAAATAAATTAAATTGAAAAAGTCTCAGTTTTCATCCAGCCCTGCAGCCTCCTGACGTGCAATGATGGTCTCTGACATCAAGCCGGCTGTGCAGCTGCCAAGAAGAATTATTACGTAAAGAACAATTCATGACTTAACAAATGGTGTATATGTACATAAACTCTGGACCAACACCTCCTACGGGGGGGGGGGGAGGGCGGTGGTTGGGAATTACAGGGCCAGTCATAAGCCAGTCAATGGACATTTCTACCACAGACACACTGCCAGAGACAGAGCAAGGAAATTTTCTGCAATTCCGTCAGGGTGGCCCTGGCAAGCGGTTGTGCCACATGTTTCTGACGGCACTGCGTGAGGCAGAATCGCCTCCTCTACACTGCCAGCACAACACCCCAGGTAACCAACATTCACTCTAGCAGTAATAATTAACTTACATTCATAAAGTGGTACAAGAGCAAAAAAAACCAAAACAAAACACAATTACACCATGGACAGATCTGAGACTTTTTGTATGACCTGATATAACGATGCTTTCAACCTGGCATGTCAAATAAGACAGACTGTACAGACTTGATATTCTTCACGTGTCTCTGATACTTCAGATACAGCCAACACTCAACCAAATGGCAACCATTTAGTACAACCCTGTAGTACAAGTGACAAAACAAACACAAACATCCCAGTAACAAATGAGACAAGAGTGCTTTCCTCTTAGGCTTTCCAAATGTAGTCAGTAGCATTTCCTTACAATGCAAATACCTGACAGTGCACACCCTGTATCGTCACTGAAAAGGCAACACGATTCTGTGAAACACCATAATTTCTGAGAATGAAGCAGTCTGGCAGTGTCACCTTTAGACAACAAGCACTAAGCAAAAATATTAATAAAAACAAACTAATTCCTGCTTATAAATTTGGCGAGAAGACAGGAGCCATATTTATTAGGATCAATGACCTTCTCTACAGAAACTCAGAGATTACACATTTATTTACAATCACTTCACCAGACCTTGAAAGATGCTCGTTTCGCTTTCTGTATCCAGTTTTAGCTTTTTGTGGCAGTTAGACCTGTTCATTATTTTCCAGATAAGTGCGGAACCAGATGATTTGCCTCCAAAGGAACGAGAAGAGGAGAGGTTCAGGTGCCACCAGATACGGAGTCCGCACAATGGTCTTTCCTTCTCTATTCGTGTAATTTTAGCTTAATCCTTCTAAAATCATCACCATCTTGCATTCCTTTCAACGAGTCAGGGTGCCGGAATGCGACTTAGCACCAGCCCTGGGCCTCGCTGCAAGATGACAGGTGAGTCATTCCATGTCAAATCATCACACTTTTGGACCTCATCATGAATTTTAACAAAACTTGGCATGCTGATTTGGTCACATGAGTAACTCATGAAACTGAATGAAAATTGGGTGAGTCTTGGATCAATATTGAGGGAGATTTAAGCAAACAAAGTTAACTTTTCTTTTTTGGGGGGGGGAGGCTATGACTTGGCTGGCTATATTTACCTTAATGTAAGCTGCACAGAAGTCGTCCTTATACTGTTTTAAAGCTATTGTCCAGTCTAGGTGAGAGGTGAGTGAGGTGTGCAAATCGGGCCAGTATAAGTGCACACTTAGGGAATCACTCGACTTTGCAAGCATCAAAGGTTATGTCGCGGCTGCATATGATGATAATTGGTGGCTAGGATTTGTTGAAGAAACTATGCCCAGCACTGGAGATGTTCATGACATTATGATCGAGCTTTAGTAAAAAATTGATACATTCTGAAATATAGTTTTTTTTTGTTATAGAATTTTTAATATTTTTATCAGTTATTACATAGTATTCAAATGGGGATGGCATATTATTTGTTCAATCTATAGAGCTGGACAATAGCTTTAAAACAAAATAAGGACCACTTCTGTGCAGCTTACATTAAAGGTAAATATAGCCAGCCAAAATCTTAGCCCCCCCACCCTAAATCGCTTAAATCTCCCTCTATATTGAGTCCAGACTCACCCAATTTCAGTTTCATGAGTTACTCATGTGACCAAATCAGCTTGCCAAGTTTTTTCTTAATCCGTGACAATGAGGTCCGAAAGTGTAATGATTTGACATGGAATGACCCAGGTCCACGTTCTAATGCGAGTGACGAAAGGTGTTCCTATTTACTGTGCTTGATCTGGGAAACACTACGCACTCAAACACACACAAAGAAAGACAACATAAGTTTCTGAATGCTCCAAGGAGTTACGACAGACTAATTTACTGCCCTTAAATATAACTGAAAAACTTTTTAATGTTGCAGAATTAGTTAAAATAAAAATGAATTCATGGGTTAAATGAGACTGATATATTTCAAAGATATCTCCATGATCTGGAATATGAATCCTTAGTGGCTTAATGATGGCTAATTATCAAGTAGAAAAAAAACAGCAGGGAAATGTAATGACTGAAGTGCGATACAAGTACCCAGTGCACTGGTGATGGACGAGCACCGTAACAACTGACACAGTAACGTGTAAAAGTGCACTGAGCTAAAGCCAACCTGTAAGCCTGACAAAACCTAGCAAGTCAACACAATTTTACCCTAGTGGCTGAGCACCAGCTCAGCAGACCCACAGCGTCACTGTACTGCATTTCAGTCACATAGCTAAACACAGAAATACGCACATCAGAAAACTTGAGTGTTATCACAGAAACACAGTCTCGGAGCTGCAATGTTGGATTTTTTTTATATTTTAACATTACACATCCTTTGTCTCTATCATACGAGTGAGTCTTTTGTCCTCTCCCCCTCTCTTCTCGGTCCACTGCGGCAGAATAAGTGAGCAAATAAGCTGAAATCTGTGACTGAAAAGTTACCGTGCGGTTTTAGTGCCTTCCGGAAAGCGTGCCAGTAAGTAGGAGAAGAGGACCCTCAATGTTTCCCGAATGGCATGATCTTAAAAGCTCACATTAACACAACCAACACCTGCATCTGTGAGCAGTCAAATGTTTGTGAATCCTGTAATACATCAACCATGAACTACAAGTGATGTACTCATAATGGAAAAGCCTAGCGACAGAGAAACTAACCAGATCACTGCTTAACAGTTCCTACATCTGATTACCGTAAACTATTAAACTGATAACAGAATTCAAACTCAAAAGAGCGGAAGGAAATCCAGCACAGTAATCACTGAAACAGCTTTGTTGAACTGCAAATCCACAACCTTCAGACTCAAGGGCACCAAGTGGGAAAACTGCACTTCCTTACAATTGCCCAACCCCAGACAGCATTACACACTTTTTCACCTGCTTTGACACAGGGAGCTTATTTTTGAGATAGAAAGGATCTCTGAAAATGAAGCAGCTGCCATTATTTCTCAATGCTGAAGAGAAGTTGTACTCAACATTTTTAAAGTTCTTTATCAATAAACTGTGTGAACCCCAATCTAAAACAGGCAAGAATACGATGAGAATCTAGTGCAGAACAAGACCGTTGAGGCTACGTCTGTGAACATCAACTACCACCAGAATCTTAACTCAATCATTAAATAAAATTCTCAATGAATTATCATTTACAGACAAAACTATTAGTGGGACAGAATTGTTGTACTTCAGGCTAAATCAGTTAAGGAAAGACACAAGAGAAGATAGAGAAATGCAGCCTTTGCAAAACAGGATTGGACATGAGGGGAGCACTTTAAAAACTATTAGCAAAGCATTTTAAAGTTACTACTGTAGACATGTTGGCAGTGAACAAAGAAAGAGGTGAATTGGAGATCATATGAGCCAGAGTATTAATCTCAAATCAAACATGCAGCCACCCACCCCTAACACATTATAGTAATACAACACCTCGCAAGAAAAGTACTATGAAGTTAAACAAAGGGAACTGAAAGACCTAAATCACAGGTGCCTGCTTATAAATGTTAGTGAAGAACTTCATAGTATCATAGAACATAAAAGGCATCATATATACATAAATGCCAAAAGAACACAGAGTCACTGCATTTATGCATCAGAACCTCAAGGAGGTGATGAACTGTGTTAACCTGTAACAGACTGACTCGTTCTTTACACTCCTGCCTTATCTATTATGTATAGTCATTCGTGGGAAAAATCACAGTTTGAC